CTGAGCTAATATATAATATTTTCGTAACGGTGTCACCCAGAAATCGAATTGATATGTTTATTAGTCAACAAGTTATTATCGAAGGACAATATACGATTTTTATTGAGAGCTTTAGATAATTTTGAGATTTTATTGAATTTTATTTTAAGTAATTTTGAACCGTTCAAATAAACCATATATAAGGTAAGGCGGGGTACAAAAGTCCAATTGGACTTAGAGCAATTATATTGCGAAACCAAACATTTCAAAAAATACCTATAAAAGAAACAACTATCTTACTATGTCAGTTTGTTCCTGCGTCTCGCAGGCATAAGAACGATGTGTTGACCCAAGCGCCAAACGCACCGGGTCATGCCAGAATTATGCACGAGATGTCAGTAAGGGACAATTTTATGTTAGTGTTAGTGCTTGATTTTGTGTGTGATTAACGGTCGTGTTTGGCGCCTTTATTTATTACTAGACAATTTTTAATTTTAAAGGAATTTTACAAATTAATAGCTACATTATTCAACCAATGCAAAATATAAATTTTATGGATTCATTTTTTGCAGAAAACACTGTATATAACCTTGATCTGGTATTTCATTCATCAGCAAAGTTGGAATAACTATATATTTAATTTATCTTTTGTAAAATTACTTTTTAATTACTATTTTTTATTGTTCACACCTTTGCCAGAGTAAAGGTTCAGTTGGTTCTTTTTACCCCACCCACTTGTAAGCTTTTATAGAGGTTATATAAAAAAACTGTCGAATTAATAGTAAATTAAAAACACATCTTATGAAAAAATTAAATAACGTATACTTAAAAATTATATTAAAATCTCATAAACTAAACAACAGTGCTTACTACCAAAAAAAAACTAACAACGAAATAAATTACTTTTGTTACGGATTTTCAAACATTGCCTTTTATTTCACAGTAGCAACGTCGTAAGAATCAAGGTGATGGCTGGTTATACATCTTTTTCCCTCTACTTTCAAATATTGTTGTTAAAAAATTCTAAACTTTACTTGTTTTTGAGGTGGTGAACCTTTTTACCTGCGGAGCCCCGCTCTATCTTTTATACACATATATCATAAGTAATCCTATTACTTGTTATTTAATAAAATAATTAATCAATCAAAAACACTATTTTTAAAAATTAGTTCTTTTTTGTTACATCATAACGTTATTTTTTATAATTAATTTTTTCCTTTTATAAATATGTGTTGACTGATTCTTATAAGCAAGCGAACCGGTTTCAACCCTGTTTCCGGATGGAATTCCTGTGGCCGAGAACGCGAGTGGCCCAAGCTTAATTATTAGTTGCATGCCAAGGGAAGCACTATTTGATAATAAGGATATGAATTCGTGTGGCTGGACTTATGAGAAATTCCTAGACCTAGCCTTATTGTGTGATCTTGCTTATAGAGCGAGGGTACATTATAGAAGAATTTCGTAGAACGAAAGGAATAGGAATATATTTCTAAATATATAGAATTTGAGGTTTTTTCTAAGCGAATAGTTTAATAAATTGATGATTAATGGTTTAATAATATTTAACTTTAAATATATTATTAAATAATAACTTTAAAACATTACTCATGTTATGTCTTTTGAAGGGTGAAATATTTTTCATTAAAATATAATTGAGCATTTCTTTGGTACTGTAAAATGCGATTATAACTGGTAGTATAATGGGTATGGGCAAATATTTCTTTTAAATTATATTTTTATAATTACGAGTTAGTAGCTTAATAAAGTATGTAGAGATAATTGAATGCTGTTTAAACTACTTTCTTAACATTTTTAGTTATATTAACATTTTTTACTTCATACTATTTATCATCAATGTTTTGTTCATAAATATGTACTTTTAATATTATATATTCACAAAAGTTCAAGGAAAGCAATATAACTGATCAAATATTTTGTTCCAATCCATCATGTAAGATATCCAAGAGATTTTGATCTACCTGTTTCATATTGCAATGAAGTTGTTACTCGTTAAATACATCTTATTTGTAATAAAGTAGTCATTCTTTTAGCATCTGATAAAATCTTTTATATGTACTATATATCCCAAGCTGCTGCGGCTTAGATATTCTATATAAAGTACGCACTTATTTTTCACATATGGCAAATGCTGTTAATTCTTTTTCATTATTATTACCCAGTGAGAGCTGCAGCAGCCGTTTATTTGTTCTACTGTTGAGTATATTTTGTTTCGTGTTTATATACCGACACATATCGCAATGCGTTTCTGTGTCTGTTACGTAATTCAATCATTTAATATGATTTGTAACAACAATATTACATTAGTTGACGTAATAGTTTGGTAATTGCTACTGCGAACTATTTTCTTTACTGGTTCGGATTCTAACTCACCAGGAGAGTGGCATATTCTGATGCACTGGACGAAACTCGAGAAGTTTTTAAACGATCGAACTCAACTAACTTAAGAATTTTTTCATCCAACATTTCCAGGAAATATTAACATTTTCTCTTTTTTTTACTAGCCAAATATTAATAATTTATTAACTGCTGTTTGAAATACATACAATGTTAATAAACAATTAGTTGAAACATATATATTATTATTGATATAAATATGTGAGTGAATTAAATTAAAACAATCTTGTAAAATCTATTTAACTTCGAATAATTAACTAGCGTGAAACAAAATTGCCTTTAATTTATACATTGAATATAATAAGTGTACCTGTACCAATACTTTTGTTCTGATAGCGACGTCGTAAGAATCAATGTGATGACTGGTTATACATCTTTTGCCCTCCACTTTCAAGTATTGTTGTTAAAATGCCTAAATTTACTTGTTTTCGAGATATCGGTGGTCTTACTCGCAAACCTTTAAGCCCCTTTCTACTCTACTATAAAATTAACCCTTACCTAACTCGGATGCCGGAGCTCCGGCGGCAAAATTCATATAAATCTCGCAAATCGCGAGTGGAAAGGGTTAAAAGAACAAAAAATTGTATTAGACTAAAACTTTCGATCTTTATGTAGTAATATTATAAGACAATATTATATGACAATTTTATTCATACAAAATTTTGTTAGTCTTAGAAACTGTTTCTAAAATTTTATTTTAATTTGTCGTGCATCATTTGTTTGATTATAGTTAAAATGAAAAAAAAAACAATATTTGCAAAAGAAATCCAGAAGGTTTTTTTTGTTCTAAAATTTTATCAATTATCTTACATTTTCGAATTTTCATTAATGCCAAGACCTCACATTGTTATTATTTTTTATTTAATTAGGCCACTTTTGCTCTCATAGCATAGCATGTAATCTATCGATAGTAGTAATATAAACACTCATAATAGCTCGAAAAGCGATTCTATTACATCATTGCAATTTTGTCATATCTGTTAATATGATAGAACATATCTTATTTGTTTGATGATGGTTTCTAGAGGTGCATGTCAGAAGTTACCATTTAATTGAATCTTATTGTCGAATTAGTAAAGCGATCTATGTATGTAGAATTCGAGGCAGAGATACATTGAAGAGGTTAAAGTTCTAAATTAGTTATTATATTGTACGGTGTATGAACTATTTGTATTTTGGTTACTGATTATTGAAGAATTTAAGAGATATTTAGGTTATTTACTGATGCTATTAAAAGTTCTATTTTCCATATGCACGAATAAATCTTCAAAATTACTTTAGTTCATGTTTTTGCTCACAAATATAAATCTTAAAAACCGTAAATGCGCCGCTGTGAGTAATAACACATTTCAAAATCTATAATGCCTGAATAATCTTGATATTTTCTGAGTCAATTTTAAAATGATTGTCAATTTCTTCAGCTCACTTTTACCAGTATTACACAAACCAAATCGAATAGTACAACGAATACGAACGGTGTGTGGGTTTGTATCAAGAATATTTCAAAACCTTTCATAATAAACTGCATTTATTACTGCTTTGAAAAAAAATGCTTTGGAGTATAGATTAATATGTCGAATAAGTTTAATTCGAAGGAAGTACTTTTTAAAAGATTTTAGTATTCGACATTATAGTACTAAATAATAAAGAATTGTATCAATATTTGCTTTGATTTTTTACCTTTTTTATTCCAAGCAAGCTTTAGGCTTGACTTGCTATTGATGTATATATTAAATTTGAATATTTAATTACATCCTTGGTTGTTTTTTATGATAAATGTTAACCGAACGTTATCTACTTTACAGTTGTTTTTGTTTGTTTATGTAGGGTACTACAAATAGTTTATAAAATTTAACAAGAGCCTGAATTGCATCTACCATTTTTTATTACGGCTTGCTTATGAATAAATAACAGGTAATTACGTTACTATATTGTTTGTTTTCGTTAGCATGCAGTTAAAGTACTAGTTATAATAATCAGCTGTATCTATTTCACATATTTAACATAGAAATAATGAATTAGAAGCAAGACATTCGCTTTTTTAAATATTTTAATTTTCATATATCGGAGAAGTTTTTCTTGAGCCGTTTATTTAATGCTTTTCACCGTATATTTGACAACTGCAAAAATCACGACTTGTGACAATGCATTCATAATTGTCATTTGGAAGCCGGTCTGTCATCTGGACGTCTTAAAAAAGACTTTTCTCGTGTAATTTTTCTTTCGCCTTAAACAATGACACTTGACAAAAAGAAAACTTACCATGGGCATGGGTCCAAACTCATTTTCGATGAATAATGTTGCCCGTTACTGTCTCGTATTTTTAAATCACAAATTGTAAGAACAATATACGCCAACTGTATATCATTCAGAGCTTCTCTAATTAAAATCCTGTCTCATATGGTAAACAAATGGACTTGAGAATTTTTATTTACAAATATAAGAAAAAATACCAGAAAACAAGATAATAGATGTAAAGAAATATAATAAACATATTTTGGAGTTTTTTATTATTTATTAATAAAATTATTTGATATCAAGTATCGGTACTCATTACCATTAACTATCAATTTCAGTGTTTAATGATTTTTTTCTATTGTTAACAGCCGTCCGAGCAGATCGTATGCGAGGTGGTCGAAATAAATTTGGGCCAATGTACAAACGAGATAGGGCCCGAAAACTACAGATAATGAGGCAACGACAGCTTGCGATACAAGCGATCAGAGGATCATTAGGAGGCCCAGGAGATGTTTACGGCCAAGGAAGTACATCACCTTATGCAAACCTGCACATCAAACAAGAAATACAAATACCACAGGTATATACTGCACTAGAGAATAAGTCTACGATACTACAACTAGAGAAAATAGCTCGATAATAAAATGATTTTGTTTTATTACGTTATTATGCAGTTTTGATCTTTGATGATGAGTTAATATGAACACAGATAAAGAATTAAATGAAGAAATTAAGGTATTTATTGGTAAACTAATGGAAAAATAAAATATTTGAATAAATTTTGACTTTAAATTGGCTGGAATTGTTTCTTTTGATATTGGGCAGTCCTGATTTATATTTAAGCATAATCCAAATTGAAATTAATATTGAATTAACATGTTTTAAACATTCACTTTGATTAAATTTTCAAATATGATTTTTATTGCGCGTTTTATTTCAGTTTGTTTGCACAATGGCTTGAATCGATACTTTATAATATTATTTATGTCATAGAGTCATTAAAATAATTTGTACATTCATGTCTTGATTTATGGAGCATTTTCCCTAATGACAACCAATTAGCGAAGTAAATTATCTGTTAAGCCCTGACCTTGCTGATGCACAGGATGCATTGTAAGATGAAATGACGTAATAACTCCTGAATCAATTAAAGCGTTTGCAATATGACACACTAGAAATTTAGTTTTGGAGAACTGCAAGCCATGTGCTTCTCATAATATTACATGGCTGTAAAAAATAATAATTGCAACTATAAATATTGGAATTCTATCATAATTTATGAATAATAATAGTATTTTAATTTCAAATTATTGAAGGGCTAATCAATTTTTTTATTCTATGTTATTAATACCAAACATTAATAGTTATCAAATATTTAATTTATGATTTCAATTATTTCAGGTGTCCTCATTAACGTCATCTCCCGATTCATCACCCAGTCCCATCGCGGTCGCCCTCGGTCAGGTCGGGCAGACGACGATAACGGCCGCGCCGAACATCGGCGGTATAGGACCTCCATCCACGACCCACCACCACAATAACAGTGGAGCACCTGCCGGCAGCACGCCTCAACAGCCAACGAGCGCCTCTCAATCCGATTCAAAACACTGGAATGCGGCGAATTCGACGACGCATTCACTCTCACCTAAACAGTACTCATATGACCCACCTGCAGCAGGAACAGAATCCGCCAATTCAACGACGGAACCTCTCCGAGTATCACCTATGATTAGGGAATTTGTACAATCGGTCGATGATCGAGAATGGCAGAATTCACTGTATGGACTTCTACAAAACCAAACTTATAATCAATGTGAAGTTGATTTGTTTGAGCTGATGTGCAAGGTGTTAGACCAGAATTTATTCTCGCAAGTCGATTGGGCGAGGAATACGGTGTTCTTTAAAGATCTCAAGGTAGGTATTTGTTCGTTTTTACCATGCCGTAAATTTGCTTTTATATTTCTATTTTTAAAATAGGATTTATACGTGATCATTTTTAGCGAAATATAATATATAAGTGTCATAAATAGGGCTCTTTATATTTACCTCCAGGTCGTCCATGGACGACATCTACATGACGTGCCGTGTGTACGCATGTCGATCTTGTACGACTTTACGACATTTGCTTTAAGATTTATCACTGTGAATTAAAGTATTGAGAATTCTAGTCTTTCATTGTAATTTCTAGTTCATTAGAAGCATAATTTTAATTTTTTTAACACATTTATATAATATTATCTTAGAAATATCTTAAAATATATCGTTGCGCCTCTCCGTTCAGTAGTGCAACTGATCGGCTCGCTTTTCCCGTACAGCAGCGACACTCCTGCGGAATACACTCTCATAGCGAAAGGGTTAAAGTGAGAACCTCATCTGAAATAGGAACCGTAAGGTTTTCGTGATAGCAAAACGGGATACAAATACAACACTTTTAAAATTTAATTTGAATCAAAATTCAATCAAATTTCTTCAAATATTTATTTTTTTTATGAATACATTGAAATAAAGCTAATGAGTTGTTGAAATTATCTCAAGTACTGTTAGAAGAAAATTCATCTATTTGAATGAGATATATATGTAATAAACACAAATTCTATTGACATTTTTCGAGAAATATCCTATGAATCTTGTAAGGAATTAAGTAATATGAATCGCAAATATCAACTTTCTCGAAGCGATGTTAAGAAACTTCAGTCGCGCCTCTATAATTGATATAAGCAGAATGCATTGGTTTCGCGCGCCTCGTGTACCGCAGCCAGTCGTACTTTCTATCGAAACAGAAACTGGTATGATGTCAGTCAGTTATCGTGTCGTGTAATGTAACTCGTATCATATGCATAATATATTACGCTGTGCTCGCGGACGCGTCCAGGCGGGCTCGGCTTAGAGCTGATAGTGAGAGTTTGCTCCGCCGCGTAGTCCGTGCCATAGAGCGCGTAGCGAAAAGAGACGGAACGACGGAACGACGGCCGCCTGTGCGGAGTTATGTACGAGTACATGTGCTCGACGGCTACGAGAAAGCGGATCTAGAGCGAGTGAAAGAGATCTGCCGCTCTTGACATCGTGGCATAGTGGTAGAGACCTACTTTGCTAATACTAGCAGCGGTCTACAACTACTAGATTCACTTGTCATGTATATCGATCGTTTCGTACAAATACTTTTCGTGTCAGGCTTATGTTTTATTTATCAACACTTGCAGCCATACGTCTAAATCGATACGTACGGAAACCGATTTGAGCTATTTTGAATTATTTTCAGAATTCTTCAAATATAAGTTTTATTTTTGAAATTTTTTGGAATGTTTTTAAATGATGTGATATATAAAATTTCGCTTATCTGGCAAATTAAAATACTACTCAAAAAGTTAATTGTATACCTATCCCTCGTTTTACACCGAAGATAGGTTCCTTAAAAAACCATGTAACTCGATAAAACCGTACTAAATCGTTTTGTTAGTTTTTCATATGATGAATAACAAACCCATTGAACAAAAAATAAATATTAATATAGGGTAGAGCGGGGCTAGTTGAGCATAGGGGCAAGTTGAGCAATCGAAATATCTCGAAAACTATTCACCGTCCGTTTAGGCGTTATATGAGGGAAAAATAGAGGTTTGGGAGAAATAATCATCTCGCGATCGCTAGTGGCCGCTGGACAAATGAGTGAGGCTCACGGGCGTTTTGTTTATTTTGAGACCAAAAAGTAAAAAAGTCATTCATCACGAGTATTCGTCTGGTTTAGTCAAATGTTATTTATTTTTAATCAGGTAAATGTTATTCTTCCATATAATTATAGTACTCTTGATATGCACTGAGATTCTGAGTATAATTCTCACGGCTTTTTTGTAAACTCACTTTTATTTTGAAATTCCGAGTAGGGGTTAGTTGAGCATAGTTGCTAAACTTGTTCTGTCACTAAGACAATTACCATTAACTTCCAGAAATTAATTATTATTTTTAAGATTTAAGTTAAATCTATAAGTAATAATATAAAGAAATGATTATTTTAAACAAAAATACTGAATATAATGGTAAAACAACGATAAACAGCAAATCTTTTACAGCAATTTATTGAGACTATTCATTAAGGAACTACTTCCGTTTAAGTAAAAATTTGCTCTACTAGCCCCGCCCTACCCTATTTAATATCAAACGCATTTAATAAATTATACGAACATTAATTTAATTCAATAATAAAACAAAAATAAAAATAACTTTTAAATATTGCATTTTCTTTATAGATAAAAATTAAAACGATTAAAAAAGTTTAAAAACAATGATGCCCTTTGTATTTCAAACAAACTGCCACACATTTTTTTATTTAATTTTATAATGCAATCTGTTATTCTATGAACAATACGCAGAGACTACTAACTATAAATATTTTACAATATAAACTAAAAGATAGGACCCAACTGCGTGTCTACTAGGTGTTTATAACACATATTAATAAAATAACAAAACTAAAGAAAAGAAAAACAAAATGAAATAAACCATCAAATATAACAAAATAATAGTATTTGGGTTTAACTGGGCTAGATGAGGTCTTATGGTAACTTTCTTTTCAGCTTATACACACACAAAATTTAGTTTTGATCAAAAAACGGGAATTGGATCTATTTTGATCATAGACATAGACTACTAAGAATTCGTAACTGTTGGAGTGTTGTATTTTGACAGTAAAACAATGAAAATGTTTATGTTTAGTGTTTATAATTACGTGTAAATGCTAAATAAATACATTTCGTAAAAAATAATTTCAAATACCGTGTAAGATCGAAAACATGTAAAACGCGCGGGGTAGTGCATATGATTTGCACTGTAAAGAATTTTGTGTATAAATAAACTATTTACCCATATTTACTGAGTATGACCTATCTAAATAAAAACAATGATAAGAGTGTAATAATAAAATAAATTGGATAACATTAATAATTGTAGCTATTAATATTAAAGTATAAATAATGATTTTGAGTGAATGAGTTTTTTTTTGTCATTATCAGATTAATTTACAAATCTTTATATGTATGTATATAGCTTACAGAGCTGCAAGCGTGCCAACGCGTAAATATGTGCTATCTAAATAAAAACATTGATAAGAACGTAATAATAAAATAGATTGGATAACAACTTTAATTATAGGTAATATATTACAAACAGTTTTTTTTTCAAAATCCATATTATTAAAACATATCGAATATCCAAAAACCTCATTTTTTCTAGCACTGCTTCGAGAGACTTGTATTATAAAATCCATCTCTTGAGACGGTTATATCAGCAATCATAATACATTACAGCAGAACTGGAGGAAGCAAAGTGGCACACTATCGCTTTCTTTGAGAGAAAGCAATTGAAGAGTAAAACGTGTTGTTGTTTTATGCTGTCCCGAGCAACAAAAGCGAGACGTGCAAAAATTTCACTATGTTTATTTACTACAGACTGATAGTGAGTTGAAACGAAAACGAAATTTTGAATAATTTAATAATAAACGATCGCTTCATAGAAAATGAACTGGATATGAACTTGTATTGGTAGAGTGCACTGTTTAACCGATGTTATTAAATACATCATTGGTCAGATTCTTCTTCAGTCTTCTTGAAATTGGTGTCTCAAGAAGCTGAGTGACTATAGAATTTGAATGATGTTCTAGTTTTTGAAATTTTTTGACACTGTTTATTTTTATAACTCTGTTTATAAATACAATTTGAAGATCGTCGTGTAAGATTTTATTGCTTATGAACCATAAAGCATTAGTAATCTGCCTCATTATTTTAAACCTTAGCCCAATGTTTGATTTGCTCGCACAGCCCCACAATGGTATGCCATAAGTCCATATTGGAATATCCATACAATTCGTCAAGTTTTGCACTAAAGTCACTACCGTGTTTTTTTAAATAATCTGAAAATACTTCCTGAGTTCAAATGTCGACCGCATGCATCCTTTCAGGTTGACGTTGAGAGTAACTTTAGTGAATACATATAACTACATTTTTGCTCTACGTGCAATTTTGTTATTATTATTTCACCATTCTTTGAATTACAACTAATTACCAATGATTTTTAGACTTATGGATATGGATAACCTTTCTCCAGGAACATATTCATAAACATTTCCAAAACCAGCTCGCATTTAAATCGAATGACATATCAAAAATACATTTTGCAAGGTGTTCTCGAGTATACAAGCACTGCACCGCAATAATTTATTATTCATAAATTGGTTTTGATGCATTTTTCTAGAAATTCCGTCTGCCATTTAACGAGTTTCAGAGAGAGAGAGCGTTTTGTACGCGACACATCAAAGTAGATATTGCTTTGATGTGTCGCGTGTATTTCATCACATCCGTCAAAAGTGATTCAGCGAAATTTAACTACCTTCTGTATGTCGCATGTAGAAATTTTGGTATAACCATTAAATTTCGAAGCCAAAAATATACGGGTCTTATAATGATAGGGTAACATGAGAAAGTATAAACTTTCATTTCGTATTCATTGTGGGAATTCTATGAATATACTCAAAATATGTAAAAGTCATAAAATTATAATAGAACAGAAGAAAATGAATTTTAAACGATGAATTCTATTTTTGTAACACTATTTATCCTGTAAAAAATATCGTCGTTTTAGTTTTATTGTATATAGAAAAAAATACTATTGAAAGGAAGTGTAGAAATGATCGGAATTGTTGTATAATATTTTACAAAAACTTTTCAGCTTAGTATTTTTCCAAAAATTATACATAAATGATTTCCGATGAGTACACAAAATTCATAACAGATAATTGCAAAATGTCACCGAAAAAAGCTTAACCTATTATTTCTATACCTTACAAAGCATGAATTTTTTCATGATTAGTACTTTAATTTATTTTTAATAAGCTTAAAAAATTGTAAGATGAAATAGATATAGGGACC